AGGGAAAGAAATGGAGACTTACTTCTGTTTAAAATGTTTACATTTTTACTCAGTAGATATAATGAATTTGAAGTTCTCTGAAGGTTTATGCCAAAAGAGAAGTGTCAGAACTGTCTGTGCTGAGCTCTACTTCACCACAAGTTCCTGAAGGAAGGGGCAGTGTCTTCACTTCAGAAGTGCCCTCACCAATGCCTCCCAGACACGTTGGCTCTTTCAGTTCCTCAAATCGGGCATGTTTCTTTTCGCTCAGGGTCTTTGCTTTGGCTAGGCCGTCTCTCTTCCAAAGTCTGATTCTTATCATTCAGATATCAGCTCAGATTTCATGTCCTTTGAGCCTTCCCTGATTTCCCAATCTAAAAAGGCTGTTTTTTATTATATAACCTATAACATAACAGGTATTTTAATTCTTTGCTTAGCACTACAAATGTTGTTTTTGTTTGTTTATTATTGTTTGTTTCTCCACTAGAAAGTAAGTTCCATGAGGGCAGAGACTTTTTTTTGTTCACCCCATATGCCCAATATCTAGGATAGTGCCCTGCACTTAAATAGCTCTCAGTAAATATCCTATATAATAAAGAGGTAATATGCAAATTAACCTTCACACCCTCACAAGATGGCTGCCTATGACCAGGCTGGCAGGAGGGTTAGTGAGGGGTGACCAAACGACTGAACAAGCAGGCTCCGTGGGACAATCAGGTTGGCGGGGGGGGGAGTGAGGGACGGCCAAACGACTGGGCACTGAGGGTGTGCCAGGCAGGCAAGCAGGTGAGCGATTAGGAGCCAGTGGTCCAGGATTGTGAGAGGGATCCCGGATTGGAGAGGGTGCAGGCTGGGCTGAGGGGACAGGCCTCTAGTATATATATATGTTTATATATATGCCTCTAGTATATAAGGAGATTATATATATATATATATGAATATCTCCTACATAATAAAGGAGTAATATGCAAATAGACTGAACGGCAGAACAACTGAACAACCAATCAAAGTGTAATATGCTAATGATATGCTAAGGCTGTTCAACTGCTCACTATGACATGCACTGATAACCAGGGGGCAGACAGTCAACTGGTTGATCAGTTGCTATGATGTGCACTGATCACCAGGGGACAGATGCTCCAACCGGTAGGTTAGCTTGCTTGGAATGACTTCAAGATCCATGATGAAGATAGTCAAGTCCAGTTCCTTGACCATCCCCACAGCAATGATTGTCTCCCTCTGTGACGCTACAACAATGCCACATAGTCAGGCTGTATCCTGGAACTTACTGCACAGAATTGCCCTGCCCTTGAAATCTTGAACTCTGAACGTTTACTCTCTGCTTAACACCCCAATCTCCACACTCTTCCATTCCCATTAAACTTATGTTGAGGAGCATCAAATTCTCTACTCTTCTCTGTCCTCTCAGTTTATCAGCTCTCCTTAATTTCTTCTATCTGGTGCAGATTCCACAATCAGTCACTTCAAATGTACTCTCACACTATCCTCACTTCCTGGTGATCACTGTATTTCCTCTGACCAATTCCAGTCCTAAGTTAGCCCATATTGGTTTCCTTCACTCACCCCTCAGGTCTGCTGAGACCTTCTAGAGCAGCGGTTCTCAACCTGTGGATCGCGACCCCTTTGGGGGTCGAACGACCCTTTCACAGGGGTTGCCTAAGACCATCGGAAAACACATATATAATTACATACTGTTTTTGTGATTAATCACTATCCTTTAATTATGTTCAATTTGTACAATGAAATTGGGGGTAACCACAACATGAGGAACTGTATTAAAGGGTCGCGGCATTAGGAAGGTTGAAAACTACTGTGTTAGAGGAAAAATGGGAGCAGGCTGCAGAGGGCCCAAGGCCCGGGCCCTCTGTTCATCAGGCCTCTAGTAATGAATGAAGGGGCATTTATTTAGATTTTGGGCTCCTTCAACTTCCTTCTCCCCCCACTCCACATTCCCCAGGTCTGTACCTATTTGTAGGTATGTATTCCTGCCTCCTCACAATCAGAGCAGGAAGTGGCCTCTTCCTCTCCCCTGGAACCTTGCTGCATTGTTCACACCCCTCCCTTTGTATCTGTTCCTCCTTCACTAACCCCACACCCCAGCCAACAAGTTTCCTGTCATCCTAAACCACCCTCATTCTCTATTCACCTTCCTCTCTAGCTACCCTTTCTCCTCCCCTCACTGCTGGTTATATGCTCTCTGAGGTCTTCTCAGTTCATTGACATCTGACTATTAACCCCACCATGCTACAGCATCTGTTCTCAAAGGTTATCAAAACCTGTTAATTATTAAATGAAATGGGCTTCTTAGTCCTCACTGTTTACAGCATTTGACCTAACTGACCACCTGTCTTAAAACTCTCTCATCCCTGGATTCCCATATTTCCTCTACCCGCTGGTTACATGTCCTAGAATCATTTTTTTGTTGCTCAATTCACTTCACTTGTTTCTTTACTGTTGCTATATCCCATCCTCTGCACTGAATATTCACTTCTTTTCTCTCATTGTATGCTTTCTTTGGTATTGTAGAAATACTAAATTATTTGGAGTATGGTGCAGTGGAATCAAATCCCATTTCACGAGTTATCAGTGCTATGACCTTGAGTAAGGTTTCCCATATGGAAAATGGGGATTAATATCAATTTTAATGGCTGGGTATGAAGAGTAAAGGAGACAGGCATGTATAAAGTCTCTTTTAATAGCTGACAAAAATTGCCACTTAGTACATTGTTAATCTCTTCTTTCCTTTCTGTCTCCTCACTCCCTTTCCTGCCAAATAACTTCTCATAGTTCACTTGTAAGCCAAGGATTTGGAGTCAGCATTGAGTTCAGATTCTTGTTCTGACAGCAGCCTTGTGACTGGGGTTTTTGTTGTTCTGAACCTTGGTTTCCATGTGTGTGACATGAGAAAGATAGTTTCTCACAGGATCATTGATTTTTAGAGAGTGGAAGGGAGGGGAGATGAGGAGGAGGGAGAGGAGGAGGAGGAGGAGAGGAAGAGGAAGAGGAAGAGGACGAGGAAGAGGAAGAGGAAGAAGAAGAAGAAGAAGAAGAAGAAGAAGAAGAAGAAGAAGAAGAAGAAAGAAGAGAAGAGAGAAAACAAATAAACAAATGAAAAGATGTGGTGAAGTCCTTAGCACAGTTCTGGTGTGTAGTTAGTGCTCAGTAGATGGTAGTTATTATGTCTCACACCTATGGCTATACCTACCACACATAGATACTCTCAAACATGTACCTCCCACCTTGCTCCTATCTCTTGTGCTCTAGACATGGATTTTGCCTTTTTTATGTTTTACAAAGAGCTCAGACTCTTATTCAAAACCAAACTATTTCTTTTTCCCAATACTTGCTCTTCACATATTCCCTTTCTCAGCTAATGTAGTGTCATCAGCCAGTCATTCAGGCATGACTTTTTGGAGCCTCTCTTTTTGTCACTGCCCACATCCTATCATTCCCCTCTGATTTGTTTTTGGAATTTGTGCTTTTCTAGCTATGCTGCTTCAATTCAGGCTCCCATCTTCTCTCACTGGAATTGTTGCCTCGTCTCCTCATTGGTTTCTTCAGATCTGAATGCTCCTCTTTCTACCCCATGTTCTCCTCTGTGTCTGGAGTGACTTTTCTAAGATGCGAGTTTCACAGTTT